ATATTATATATTATATTTTACGTAATTAACCTATATATTATCTAGTGATCATATATATAACAAGATATAACGCTAATATACTGAAGCGAATATATATATTAATAGAATATTAAGTAAACAATTTTATAATACGTATTTATTATTATATCAGTTTTACTTGATTTTACACTGTATTCTCGTGCTTCCTATATATATCGTAGATTTGATTATTGATTCTGGATCTGATCGCTCTGCACATCTCTATATGTAGCATATAGGGTCGAGTAAAGGCGGGTGCTAGTGTACGACGATATAACTCACATATATAGACCGAAATTATCTTTTTGGTACTACGCGAATACATATATACTACTATAGATATATATACATTAGTCCGACCAAGTATACTAGCGATGTACTATATTTACTCTAGTGCTCTGCTGGGCCACCGCTACATACATACATAAGATGTATGTAATACGTAATATACATATACTTATACATATACATACAATATATATATATATACCGGTGTCTGGAGTGAGTCACTTCGGGATTTAGCACGAGTGATTGATTAGAACTATGTGCTACAGACTGTTGTCAGTGGTGTTGTTATATATATATAATATTTTATATATATATGTGTGTGTGTGTGTGTGTATATAATCTATAATATAAATATATATATATATATAATTATGTATAATATATATATACTTTATGTATATACACATATGTGTATTTATGATATGGTATGTAGAATGCTATATAATTACTGTGCTGGGACAATTGCTGATAAAGTCTACCCGACCCTTACGCCAGTACACATAAGAAAACAGCAATAGAAAATGACACCTTGAAACTGCGCCAATGCATATGAATACACCGACGGATCCTTGCAGTCTGGGAGTGTTTTTTGTCGTATATAAGAACAGAATTTCGCAGCACCAGGATTGTAGGAGGTTCATGACTGGGCTGGCGCTGCGCAAACGGAGTTGGCAGCAATGCTCATGGCCAGCGAATTTCGGTTGAATCAAGGCTAAGGGCCATTTTCTGCGATTCACAAAGTGCTCTCCAGGCTTTGAACACTAAAAAAAGGTGCGGGAAATATTACAAATGACATCAAGATAAACGTGCATAGGCAAAAGAAGCGAGGGCCATGGTATACGTTTGTGTGGATACCGTCCCATGCTGGAATCCCTAAGTTGATGTGATGCTGACGCGCTAGCTAGCAAAACCAGCAAGTGGCAAGCAAAGTGTGAAAATAGTTCTTGGAATACCACTTGCTAGGATTTCACACATCCTTAAAACTTCCTTCAGTGAAGATTTGCGTTTATTAATTCTCAACGGCCTGAAAGCTGTAGTATAAAGCACTGAAGCACCGGTGTCCAAGATTTATTCACCTATTGCTTATATAAAACAAGAACAAGTGTGATGTTGTAACCGCAAGAATCAGGCTTGGATATAAATTGTATTGGCAGATCAGAGAAGGTATAACTAAAAGCGTTTTAAGCAGGGAAAGTTCTTGCCTGAAATCTCAAGCTTTTTTCTTGCTAACTCAAGCGACCTCCGTAGATGGCTTGACTTGCGCTTGCTAAGTCAAGCGGTGTACCGTCACCATGGCAACGGCGTCGGTCGCGTACCGTACTGGTCACGATCCTTCGAATGCGGGCGTTGGCCAGGAACTCCGCTTAATATCTTATCAGATATATAATTTTTTCACGGTATCTGATTCAGTAATCTTCTTAAAATCATATTCAAAGAAATTGAAATTAACTGAAAACGAAAGGAGATAATGGAGATTATATGAATAAAAAGTTTTACTTATGAACAATAAATGATTTATAAGACGAACAATTTTCCTCTTATTGTTAAACTTCTCGTCTTTCTAAATCAAGAATATATCTGCTATTTTATGAAATAAAGGATATTCAAGTGAAAAAGTCTGAGAAATTCTAGCAACATTCTTCTGTTGATATTATATTCGATGATTTGTTATATTTAACCTCATAAAATCGGATATATGGGAATGGGTAGGCCTATATTTTAAATCATGGATATTCATTTGTTTTGGTAACGCGTCAGAATGAAAGGGCTGTCAATCGGAAGCGTGTGTCATTGTTTTAGAGGCACTTTATATGAATATATCTCCATTATCTCCTTTCGTTTTCAGTTAATATCAATTTCTTTGAATATGATTTTAAGACGATTACTGAATCAGATACCGTGAAAAAATTATCTATTTGATAAGATATTAAGCGGAGTTCCTGGCCAACGCCCGCATTCGAAGGATCGTGACCAGTACGGTACGCGACCGACGCCGTTGCCATGGTGACGGTACACCGCTTGACTTAGCAAGCGCAAGTCAAGCCATCTACGGAGGTCGCTTGAGTTAGCAAGAAAAAAGCTTGAGATTTCAGGCAAGAACTTTCCCTGCTTAAAACGCGTTTTAAGCAGGGGAGCGCTTGGCAAGAATTCTTGCCAAGCGCTGTACCGTTCCCTGCTTAAAACGCTTTCCAAGGCAGGCAGGCCCTCTTCAGTGATGCCAGACATGTGGAAATGTCTTTTTATAAAGTACAAATCATAACAGTCCTTGATGAGCATAGAAATATCAAAATAAAACACGAAATATACATACTTGGGTTTTAAAAGCAATATTCCCACCAACAATCTCGGAAAGAGATAACTTATGCACGAGTCGAGGGTGGAGTTTATTTCACCTGCGGTTGGTAACAGTTTGAGCGCGCAATTCAAAACAACTGACAAGCTAGCGCCGCATCAAGATGACAGAAAGTAAATAAATCTACCCAAACATCTTAACAAAGCGCTATATTTTCTCCTATATTCATATAAAGTGCCTCTAAAACAGTGACACACACTTCCGATTGACAGCCCTTTCATTCTGACGCGTTATCAAAACAAATGAATATCCCTGAATTAAAATATAGGCCTACCCATTCCCATATATCCGATTTTATGAGGTTAAATATAACAAATCATCGAGTATAATATCAACAGAAGAATGTTGATAGAATTTCTCAGACTTTTTCACTTGAATATCCTTTATTTCATAAAATAGCAGATATATTCTTGATTTAGAAAGACGAGAAGTTTAACAATAAGAGGAAAATTGTTGTCGTCTTATAATCATCTATTATTCATAAGTAAAACTTTTTATTCATATAATCTCCATTATCTCCTTTTGTTTTCAGTTAATTTCAATTTCTTTCAATCAGATACCGTGAAAAAATTATTTATCTGATAAGATATTAAGCGGAGTTCCTAGACCAACGCCCGCATCGAAAGGTCGTGACCAGTACGGTAGGCAACGACCGCCGTGCCATATGGTGACTACACCGCTTGACTTAGCAAGCGCAAGTCAAGCCATCTACGGAGTCGCTTGTGAAAGCAAGCGAAATGCTTGAGTTTAGCAAGAAAAAACGCTTGACAGATTCAGGCCAAGAACTTTCCCTGCTTAAAACGCTTTAAGTCTATCTTTTATGCTGTATCCAAGTGTAGCATTGTTCTTCCACGCTCAAGCTGTACGCCGGCTTGGTAGATGAGTAGATGAATTACTGTATATATTTTAATGATATAATACAGCCTAAATTTCCAATCGCATATTATTAGATAATGTTATGACCAAGCATCAAAAGTGCAACATTGGCCATATCTGAGCAGTTAGCCAGGGTAGAAAATAAAGAACTAAACTAAGAAAACAGAGAGAGAAACACACACATACACACACACACACACACATACACACACACACACACATATATATATATATATATATGTATATAATGTAT